CCCCAATTCTCCAAGAATTTCCAAGGCTAGAATTGGCCACCCTAGTTCTTATGGACCAGTGTTGGGTTATTGTTATTAATTTCTAAAGTTAATCAGCAGAGTAATCAGCATTCAGCAGAGTATTAAAGAGTCAGAGTCCATGGTGTGTTTAAAATATAAAAGTTTACTACAACCTAGCATGGGGGAAAGGTATACGGGATGTAAAATAACAAAGAGCTATATTCCTACATCCTTACAGCTAGACAGAACATGGCAGAAGAGTAATGGAGACTAACTTCTTCTTGCTCAGGACAAAGAGCCATAAAATGCTAATACTAGGTACTCTAGTCTCCAATCAGAACAACAAACTAGATCTGAAGTTACCGGGCTTTCTAGCTCTCTAAACTTATTGGTTACAAACAAACATGTGATTTAGTAAACAGTATTAACCCAGTAAATACTGAACAGTGTTCTAACTTGTAACACCCAACAACCAGTGCTTGGAAGACTCTGCTTTAGCCAAAAAAAGCAGGAGTCTGACAGATCCAGGCTGCGAACCTGATCGTGCTTGCCTGGGAAGGGGTAGGTCCCGTTGAACTCAGTGACCTTTACTCTGGAGTTATATACCCTCAGAGTTACACTGTTGATGTTGCAGGATTAGAACTCACTTCTAATGGAATTCCCTGCCACAGGAGGTGGTGGCCGCTACAAGCATGGACGGCTTCAAGAAGGAATTAGATAAGAATATGGAGCTTAAGTCCAACAGTGGCTATGAGCGACAAGATATAGATAGGGACTCCCAGTCTGGGGCAAGGGATGCTCTGTCTTCTTGGTGCCTGGGGGGCAGCAGTGGGAGGGCTTCTAATGTCCTGGCCCCACTGCTGGACCTCCTGGTGGCACCTGGTATTTTTGGCCACTGTGTGACATAGAGTGTTGGACTAGATGGACCATCTCTTATGTGCTTATGTTCTTGTGCTCATCAGAGGCCTAAAACGCAGTGCTCATCAGACAGGCACCAATCTATACCGGAGTATAAAGACAGGAGAACTACTGTGTTCCCTGGCCTTTGGGCTCCACCCTTTACGCTTTCTTCTCTGCCTTCTGCCAAAGGCTGCTACTAGCCATCAGGCCTAAAGAGAACCTCCATGTACAGAGGCAGTCTACCTACGAACCCCAGTGCCAGGAGGCAGCACCAGGGGAGAGCCGGTTTGTTTGGTCTTCCAGGACAACTGTTTAGCCACTGCTGGAAACAGGATGATGGAGCTTTTCTTCTGATGTTCTTATGAGTACAACTCTCGAGATGTGTCCGTCATCGCCTCAGGGAGGGGAGAGGAGGGGTCACCGGTTGCTGGCTGAGGGGAGGGGTGTCTGAGGTGTTAAAAGTGGAAAAGATAACCACCACCCCCAACAAGAGATCTCTTTCATTGCAGAGCCGGGGCAGAAAGAAGCCCTCACACGCCCAGCCAAGCTCTCCTGGCAAAAGGCCTTCCTCGATGAGTCAGAACCTCTCCCCCCCCCACTAGAAAATGCTTCCTCTTGGCCAGCAGCAGCCCACGCTTGGTTCCAACCAGAACGCGGCAGAAGCGCTCGGGTTTCGCTTCCCCACGCCCCCCCCCACACACAAGCGGAACCCGGTGTTAGGGGAAACCGAAAGAGAGAACCTGGTTCTGATCTAGGAGACTTGTGCTCACCACACATCAGACCCACGTTCCTTCATGAATCCACTTGGGCACTGTGGGTTGCCAACAGGCCTGGAGAAGAATGCCCCGACCCTTCAATAGAGGGAGGATTTCTTCTTCCTCTACTCAGTTGCCAATGGAAGGTTTTCATCACATGGGGGGGGGGAAATAACATCCCAATACTCCTTGACTGAAGGGACAGGAGATGGTTCTCCAGGGCTGTCGGCCATCCGGTCCCTTCCTTTAAACCCGTGACGCTGCCTTGTCCTGAATCGGACCGTCTGTCCATCAATGCCAGTCTTGTCCACTGGGACTGGCAACAGGTTAGTGTCCCAGTGTGTCTCCAGGGTCTCAGGAGGAGGGCTTTCCCAATCACTTCCTGCCTGGTCCTTTTCACTGGAAAGGCCTGCTTTTTGCCCAGGACAATTCTACTGAGGACACTTTGGCTAAATAATTGGAGGAAAGCACTTTCTGGACCAGAAATTATTACCAGTGAAACACCACTTGGCATGTGATTGCACCTTTGGAGGCCTCATTTGTACTTTTATTCTGTGCCTG